AGCCTGCAGGTCTGATTTAAGCCCTGGGAAGCTTGTGTTTGGCCTGCCATGGACCCTGGAGGAGCTATTCATATGCTCACATTATCCTAAAAATCCAAGTCCTTGTATCTGAAGCCAGGTCCTGACCATCTTCACTGAGCTCTCAATTCAGCATGCCCCCTAACATGAAAATGCATCCCCCAAATAACTGGATCCTCCTGGTTCAATTTTCCTTCCCTTCATCACCTACTCTGAGACACACAGCTGTTTATCGCATGGAGGCGGTGAGCCCAAATTGTCACAAATATCTGAACTTCAGTTTATGCCACATAAATTGAGTCTATCTTGTATAAATCACAGCTCTGAGAGTATCTGTAGATCTGCTTTAAGCACACCTGCAGCATTGTTGTTTTTTCCCCATGTGCTCTATACCAGGATAGCTCTACTGATCTATCTGGATGCATTGCTGACTGAATCTGATACGTGTGAAAGCAACACGAAGCCTTGAACCCGTTCTGCCTGCTCTGCTGTTACACTCGGAGCTGGGTAATGCATGGTTGTTGCTCAATGGTGTCTGCATGCTTGGTGGATTCATTTCCTCTGCTTCTCGTAGCAGGAATAGCCTGCGTGCATTTCAGCATAACATTTTCTGGGCTGTAGATTTATTTTATATAAAGGTGTAAGAAATGAGAAAGGACTGAAAGTATGTAGGATGTGAAAGGGAGTGTGGATTAGTGGGTAGAGCACGGAGTAGGCAATTAGCAGACAGGTTCCCCACTCCTACTTTGGTTGGAGTTGTTGTGAGAACCGGGGCCAGTGAATCATGGGCTGGTTGATCTAATTCTCTGTGACTCTCCATTACTTCATCCATCATTGGTGTTTGAAACTCTGCTCTGGAGCCTGTCTAAAGGAGTGCCCCGGAGTTGGCTTAATAACTGTTTCTATTCTATTTAGTTTGAGATGGACCCAATTTTTTCCCTTTTTGCATCCTGGGGAATATTTTTTTTAGGTACCTACCCATGAAGATTTTTGTGCATGACATTGCACAGTGGAAACACTTTAGTACAAGCAATAAACTACCCAAACTTACTGGTGCATATACAGTGAAAACAATGACGTTCAAAACAAGAACAAAAGTATCATGGAATATTAAAAAAAACCCTAGGATTTAGAGAGGCCACAAACATGAAAATAAGAGAATGAACAAGCAAAAAGGCTGCATAGCAATTTCAGAAAAAAAGTTTCATTTTTGCTGAAAAATTTCGGTCAGTTCCACAGTATGTGCCTCAGTTTCCCTAATTGCTACATGGGGTTAGCAACCCAGACCTATTCTGCAAAGGTGTCGTCAACTTTAATTTGGGAACCTTTGAAAAACGCTCCGAGTTTTTCAGATGAAAGGCACTGCAGATGCCAAACGTGGGCGTATCCTCTGAGTCAGAGGCATAGACATGGGCATATTGTGTGATCGGCTTGATGCAGTGCCCTAGATAGGAGACAGTTGTCCTCTGCAGGAAATGTAGGGATAGCTGGTGCAAAAATCACAGATGATGCTTACACAAGTGTCAACTCGTGCTATAGAAATCAAGAGCCACCCTCTGGGAAGTGCAGAGATAAAGCCTGCAATAAAGAGGCGTCCAGTCTGTACTTTACTTTGGCTTCTGAATTGCCTGAAATACCTTTGCACAAGTCTTCTAAATATGTCTGGGAACTGAAGTACAAATTGTCTAATAAACTACACTTTAACGAACAAACTGCCCTTTAACTCCAGTCATCCTCCTGTGATTCCCAGGCAGAATTAGCCAGCATTGGCAGTGGTTATGAGCACCAACAAGCCCATACGGACCTCGAGTTTCAGACAGGTGTGAACACTAGATTTCCCAGGCGAGGCCAGAAATAAGAAGAGAGAGGTGGGTGCCATCTGCAAACAATTTTTTGGCATGAAAAAGACATGATGAAGTGTGATGAGGTGCAGAGGGATGATGAGGAAAAGAGTGGGCTTGGCCTTTAGCTACAGAGTAAAGCTGCAGTCCCAGGCTGCCTGGCAGCAGAGGTGATGCATTTAGCTCTTGCTGGTCACACAACAGGCCCGCCATGGTTTCACAGGTATTTGCAAGCAGGACATGCCCAACACACTAATGCCAGGCACGTGGGATGCTGTAGAGTGAGCTGAGGTTGAAAGGTGACCAGTGAAAGTGGCATTATGCAGAAGTGACTGGCGACAGCAGGGAATGTTCTTTACGTACAGGTCAGTGAGAGCCTTTCTTTCTTCCTGCAGACTCGAGGGAGGTTCAGCCCAGACTACTGGCAATTAGGTTCTTCTTCAAGAAATCCAGTTTGCACGTGGCTCCATTAGTCTGTATGTGTGTATACGCACACGACCTCCCTCTTTCTCTCTGACATAGATTATTTAAGCTGAGGATTCTCCAAAATTAAGCAGCAAGGACAGATGCCACTCAAGCTATTCAAAAGCCAAAGTAGAACCTGCAGCTTTATGGAACATACCAGCTGTCAAACTGACAACAGCCCATCCGAGTCTGACTGGAGCAGCATTAGATGATAGACAGGAAAATGTCTTACATCTCAAGTATGGCCATACTTCACCAGTACTGCAACAAATGGAGGAGTGAAAGCCATGGTGGGCATCAGGGTAGGTCAGGCAAAGCACAGCTGTAACCTGACTTACTGGAGGGTGCCAGTCTTGTATGTGCCTCTGCATGGACAGAAGAATCAATAATAAATCTCCTCCTGAGCCTAGTTACTCCTGAGTCTGCCTAGAATAACTGAATTAAACTCACCTACTCTGGATTTGCTTCAGTAAAATCAAGATGAAACAATTTCATCCTTAATCTTTTGACTGCCGTACCTACTCCAAAATCTTAACAAAGTGTTAGGAAAACAAGAGAAACCAAGGCTGCCTTCTTCCAAGCTAGACATCTTCATATAGATGTTTTTTGCTTCTTAAGTGTTAATGTTAGCTTGGAAAAGCTCTGATGAGTCTCTTCTCTGCACATGAGAACGGGCACAGCCAGCCTCCAGTATTTTTAATTACTTGGAGATCTATAGGACTGTTGATGTTATAAAGATCAGCTCAGCCCAGGAAGCCAGGGGGGAAAGAAATACATATAGAATCATAGAATCATTATTGTTGGAAGAGACCTCAAAGATCATCAAGTCCAACTGTATACCCGATGCCAGGTATATGTCAGTCAATCTCTTTCTTTTACGGAATTTGTTTTTAAAAAAATAGCATTGCCCTTTCCTATGCCCGAAAATGACTTCTGACTCACAAAAGACTGTGGTCCTATTAATAAAAAAAAAAAATCCATTAGAAATTACTGCAAAAGGCACAGCCTTTCCCAACAACTATTATAAAAAAATACTGTATACTGAATCATTTCTCACATATAGAGAGCCATAACAACATATAGGCAATAAGAGGGGCTAGATCTATGAGCTAGGGGTCCCAACTGCATTTTAGATGAAGAGAAAAATTTTTTTCTCTTTCCTTTTCTCTCATTTTGCACAGACAAAGCCTTTAGAAACCATATCTGTAAGACAGGTGCTTCCTGGCTATCTCATTCTCGTATCAGATCCAAAATGTATGCTGTTCCTGTTTTGGGCTGCACCTCTATTTCCTCCAAACCTAAAAAAGAGCTGCAAAATGCAGACCTGGATTTTTCCTCCACTACTCAGGACACTTCCAATCGGGGTTTTGTTACGGATTTCTACTGAGAAACTATTACAGGCTAAAAGTCACATTCTCCAGCAACATCATAATTGTATTCTGCAAAAAATAAATTAAGCACAAATCTTAGGCATGGTTAACGTACACCCTGGGCATTAATCTCAGGGCAATCTCACTGAAATTCAGAGCATAATCTATGCTAAATTGATATGAGTGGAAGATCAACCTCCTTATTTTGAAGTTGATGGAATTCACCAGTGCTTATAAAGAGCCTTTGTCTTCTGAAATCTTCTGTGATTCCAAAAAGTTGAACATTTCCCAGGAATACAGCTAGGGAGACAGATCTATTTTTAAAACTCGTTCTCAGTTCTTTTTTCTTGCAAGAAATATTTTGGCATCCAGCTGTAAAATATTTGCTCTTCCAGGTATGTTACAGGTATGTCTTTCAGTCCAGTGGACATTTTTGGGAAGAGCTACGTAAGATACATCTGAACCCTTATCTCAGTGAGAACATGGAATTAATTAAGGCAATGTGGGTTTCAGTCTGGTAGTTACATTCGTGGAGATTGCATGGTCTGTAGAAAAAACAGGACTAGCCAATTTTTGTTTCAGGTCAGCTGTGTTCTTCTGATATGTCGTTGGGCTATTTCCAGGTCTAGATGGATGGACCTCGCACAAACTCAACATCAAAATGAAATAAAGATAATAGGGTCTTTTAAATCCAGTATTATCCATACGTTTCTGCTGAATACAGTAAGCCCTCAAGGGAACCCAGTTTAAGAATGCTTTATTCTAGGCGTTCATTTTAATTACAGCCATAATTATTTTTGTGCATGTGTATGACCCAGTTAACAAACCCATCTTCGGCATCTCATGGTCTCTCCGACCCTGCCCATCTCTGCAAGGAGGTAACCTCAGCTCCTGGCAACAATGAGCAAAAGTATTTTTGAAACAAGCGGTCGAACTGGTTGCTACATCTTAATGAAAATTATTTTAAAAAAAAATTCTATGTATATAAACAGCCTTTCCTCCCAAACCTGGTTCGACAAGAATGTTCCTGGGTGTGGACTGCCTTGTATAATTAACTGCACAGCTGTAGCTTCTGATCCCTGGTAACGTCTGTTTCTTTCTTTCTCCCTGCGTCTACCTAGCATAATCCAGGCGTTCTCCTCCTCCTTGCAGGAGCTCCAGGTGCGTCACTTGGGCAGAAACTTTACTGCATTCCACCGTCATTCCTTGCTGAGACGACGACTGGGCAGACGTACCCGCTTTGTAGAGGTCTGAGAGACAGGAACTGAAGGACTGAGCAGTGAAGCCAATTTGCCCTGTTTAGACGATGGAAACGGGGAGTGCAGCAAGGACAAATGGTACCACTGGGAAGCCAGAGGATGTGAAGAGTCCATCTGCCCCCAAAAAAGAAGAAGAAGTGAAGAAGACCACAAACCCTGGCGGAGGTGAGAAGGAAGCTATGAAGGGCACTGGCAGTGCTTCTTTGGAGACAGGGCAAATCAAGAGCTCTCTCTTCTCTGGGAGTGACTGGAAGAGGCCCATCATTCAGTTTGTGGAGTCATCCGATGAGAAGAGATCGACCTACTTCAGCATGGATTCGGCAGATTCAAAGAAGATGCAATATGCCAGTGGACAGATAGGAGACATGAGGAGACCACCCCTCTCCTTTGCAGATAAAGGCGATCTCAGGAAGCCCCTCTTCTCCTTGGATTCCAAAAAGAGCTTCCTGCCTAGTGAAGGAGAAGGGAGGAAGTCGTTATTCTCTGGGGGACAGATGGGGGACCTGAAGAAAGCTTCCCTCCCGCTGGTGGAGACAGGGGACCTGAGAAGATCCACCTTCAACAAGACTGACAGAGCAGCTGGGTCACGGCCCAGGGTGAAGCTTGAGGATGTTCTGTGCGATTCCTGCATCGATAACAAGCAAAAGGCTGTGAAGTCCTGCTTGGTGTGTCAGGCTTCCTTCTGTGAGCTGCACCTCAAGCCCCATCTGGAGGGAGCCGCTTTCCGGGACCACCAGCTCCTGGACCCCATCAGGGACTTTGAAGCAAGAAAATGCCCTGTGCATGGGAAGACCATGGAGCTGTTCTGTCAGACAGACCAGATGTGCATCTGCTACCTCTGCATGTTCCAAGAGCACAAGAACCACAGCACAGTGACAGTGGAGATTGAGAAGGCGGGTAAAGAGGTAATGCTCTTTTTATTGCATGTTCTCATCAGTCTTTCCGAGGGACCTCAATATTATACCACAGCCTTTGCTCTCCAGCCTACAGTCTCTCCTCAAATCATGTCTGTAATGTAATTCTGAGATACAGAGGTGGTGGATGGGAAGAGTTTAGCAGAGAACTGATACTGCCTGGGTTCTGCTGCAATGGGATTGTTGTTCTCCTAATGGCTGGTTATAGCAGCACAGCGCTGGTGTTGCATAGCAGATTGTATTGGGGGCGGGGGGAGAACCTGGTTTTCACCCCTAGTTGCACCACTGACTTTCAGCAGAAGCTGAATCAAAGCCCTACATGCTAAGTTTACAAAAAAATGTCTTGAGTTTTGTCAGTGTTTGGGTGGTGTTACCCACAGCCAGAAAGGTGGGGCATTGCTCAAGTTCAGGACCTCTGGAATACATGTAGTCAGATCGGTGGCTGCTCAAGTTACTACTGGCTGCTAGGTTACTATTGAAAATTGCCATCTCAGCTACTTACAGTGAGATTATGGTTTTTTGTTTTTCTTTTCTGTTATGGATGTAATAGTGTGAAGCCACACCTATGGGAAGAATCTTTTGAAGCTTAGATGAAGAAAAAACACCCCGGTGCAAACACAAAACATTATAATTTCCCCTGAAGTGTTACTACAATAGGTTTAGAGAATGGACATCTAAGGAGATGAGGCTGATATGTGGAACAGTGCTCACTCTAATGAAAAGTCTTCCACCTTTGTTCGCTTGAAGTTTCATGCTGTTTGCTTTCTGGGTGGATGTATGATTATTCCGCTAGCTCTAATAAAGATCAGGGTCTCATCATGTTCAGTGCTGTACATCCTCATAGTAAGAGCATGTCCTGGCCTAAAAACCTAAGCAGATAGGACAGGAGAGATTACAGAAAGGAGACCCATGAACCAATAATGTACAACAATGTGCCTGGAGTCACACAGCCAGTCTATGGCAGAAACTGGAAGGGCTCTAAGATCTGCTATATCCTGCTCTTAGGCACAGCCCAAGCCAGTGCTCTGATGTGGTGAACAGGAAAATAGAAGTACCTGCTGCTGGAAATTCTTGAGTTACACTTAAGTTGGAAGAATAGTTTAACTCTTTCTAAGGTGCTAGAAGATTTATCTTGTAAGGCTGAAAGAGCATCTGATACAGCTTATATCTGTCTTTCTGTGTGAATTTTTGGTCTTTTCTTGCAATGTCATCTCCAACTTGCAGCCTCGATGAAACCAGACAAGGTTTCTTCCGTGTCTCAGACAGTCTTTCTAAAAGAAATTCCTGCAGGGCTTGCTAGCCTGCTGTTTGTTTCATAATTGCTTGTTCTTGTGTTTTTGATGTCAGCTCTGAACATAGCATATGCCTAACTCTCATAAAGCTGTTTCTAGTGTCTGCCAAGTTGTCCAATTCCTTTTAGCCGTTTCTACTGAAAAGAGGTTAACAGTTGCTCCCTGAGGAACCAAAGCTGGTCAGAGCCTTCTTCCTGTGGTTGGATGGACCTAGGACACCTTGCTTTTAAAAAGGCAACCACAGCTGGGCAGAGGGGACTTAACCTAAGATTTAAATGATGTTTGGTTTCTTTCTCAGAGTCCTTGTGCCACTCTTGTTAGCTCCATGCTTTAGTTCCTGTACTGTCCTGTGACTGTTTCTGCTGCTGCTAAGCCTAAAGGATTTAGGGCTTTATCAGTATGAATCATACACATGTGCAAGTTTCTCCTGACAACGAGTTTTGATCATGTTGTAACTTGAGTGAGTATTCACTCAGACAAAAACAATTAACAGGATAGCTGTTGCTTACAAATGCTTATTCCTAGCCCTGATTTATTCACCATAGGTGGAGCCTTAGCAAGAACCACAGAGAGGAATGAGCATTTCCAAGTCCCTTATGTGCACCACCTATTCTTTTCAAGTCTTGCAAATCAGCCAAGGTGGAATGTGACCACAATTTGGAAGAGAGGCAAAGTGTGGCTCGTGCTGCTGGCCTTTGTGGGAAGAATAAGCCAAAAACCCACATCAGGTCATCCTCATCCCTGCCCCGTTTTCACAGCTTGGCATCCAAGCAGCTCCAGGGTAGCTTTACTACATCCAAATTTTCTAACTATGCCACTGGACTGGTGACCAGAATACAGCTGTATCCAGACCGACCCTTTCACACAGTGTTGGTTATCAAGGAACAGTTGGTTTATCTGCAAGCATTTCCCAGTCCCTGGCTATACTGCGACTCCAAACCTGGAGAGGATTCCAGCAGAACTGGAGGTAGTTTCTATGCTGTGATGCACTTAAGCCTGACTGTCAAACTGGGCGCTCAGCAATTTGGTGGCACAAAACTGTCATATAATAAGGTGCAATATGCTTGGTTTAGGTACATCTATTCCCTTCGTATTGCAGAATTAATGCCAGTTACAGTCTCTTTCATGAGTTTATCTTTTCTAAAGGCCTGTAGGGAAGAGAGGTGCTGTACTTCAGAGTCGGGAAAGCAAGGGATAGCTTAAGATCCTTTTGTAGAATTAGGTAACTCTGCTTGCTCCACAATGCAGACAGAGACAGTACAGCTTAGAGAAGAGGAATGCAAACAAGCCAGTATACAGACTCTTACTGGTTAGAGCATTTAGGCAAGCAGTGGAAAGCCTGCTGTCTGTCTGTGAGACAGAGAGAGAACACAGCAGCATCTTCTAGTTTTCAGGAGCCTGGAGTGAGAGTCACTCATCCCCCTTTTCCCGATGTGTTGCTGAGCAGACAAGAGTGAAAGGCACAGGGGGTCAGACAGAGACAACTTGGCAGGGAAGACACTGACATTTTTTCTGAGTTTCCACCCAGTGGTATTTGCGTATTTTACCCAGCAAACCTATAATGCCTTCCCCAGATCCACTTTGCAGTAGTTTCCCACAACAGATTTAGAGGAAAAGTAACAACTGCACCGAAACTGGTACAAGAAACAACCAAGAAAAAGTCTGTGAGCCTGGGTAATAATCACACACAGGTGAAAAGTGAGAATTGTCAACAGCAGCTTGTACAGTCAAATAAAACCCTCTGGCCAGCTTGATTTATCAGCAAAACTAGAGCCCGGCTTTCAGACAGCATCCTTCATTTTGAAAGGGGATCCTTCATTCAAAACCTGTTTTACAGGCCTATTCTCAAAATGAGACAACTTCACATACGCCTGCCAGTCACAGAGCTCTAAATAACCTGGCGTTACTAGCCACTGCCAGCCTTAGTACTCAGCATGTCAGGTCAGTTCTAGTGAAAAGCACTTTGATTTTTTTTCTTTATTTCTTTACCTTTAAAGAAAACTTCACATTGTACAGCAGGTTTAAACAGGCAGCAGAGAACTGCCACGCAGAAACAGGGAGCTGGGTGTTCCTTGTTTCAACAAAGCGACTTTTAAAAAGGGGAGACTTCACAGAATCTGAACTAGGCTTTGAAGTCAACCATCCACAGAGATACATCCAGAGGGATTTCCATCTGAGCCCTCTCTGTATTGCTTTCAGCATCTGAATAGAGAGCAAACAAGAGTGTATGAATATGCCAGTGGAAGGCTTTTTGGCCTTTCGCACTGATGCAGGGTTAGGGCACGACGTGGCTGTGAGACCTCACCTACACTAGTAGTGGCTGTTCTGCGGACGCAGCTTAAAATCGATGTTCCTTCCACAGAGATGGTGCAGTTACCTGCAGGATGTTGCTTCCTAGCTGGAAGGCTGGGGAAGCTGACCTGCTGCAAATTGTGATTTAGAGTACAGTTGCCTGTTTGCATTCTGCATTAATGCCTCTACAGTGAGGGCAGAACCCAGGGAAAATCCACCAGATTGCAAGAAAGGAATTATTTTCAAACTATGCAAAGCAGAGAGCCTTTTCTGGCCTCAGCTCATGCAGTGACTAGTGGCATTTTCACAGGATGCTGGCAGAGTCTCCAGAGATTGTAGCCCACCGACACCCACCTCTGCTTAACAAAAGCTTAGATAGAAAAATATAATGGCAAAATAATATCTCAAACAATTTCTTTATTTCTCGGTCATGTAATTTCCAATACAGGCCCTGTACTGGGACAACTAGTTTAAACACTCCTTCTCTAGCTTCATGATTGCATTTGGTCCTTGCTGTAAGGTAATTAGCATAGCTCTCCCAGGCTGGTGACACAGGGGTGTTCCCTGATTCATGGACTGGGTTCCCAGAGCATTAAGACATGATGCTGCTTGTATTGCTGCCTTGCAAAAACGAGTTGCATCATGACGCAAGACTCCTAATCTCACGTCTCTAGGTCCTTTACAGCACAAGGGTTGGGTTCAGTTGTGGATGTTTAGGTGTACACTCTGAACTTTCACTTAGGCCTCTTGACTGTCCTAATTAACTTAGAATGTAATAGGAGATCCTCTCTTAGCTGAAAGACTCTCAGTGCCAGCATTTCTCAACTTGCTGTGGTCAAACGGAATGGTCTAAACCTGTATTTCCCAGATCTTCTTCACTGTTATTGTCATTTCTGCACTGTAGGGACCCCCCCCTAATGGGCGGAGCTGCTGTATTACCTTTTACTAGGACCTTCTGAACCCCAAGTCTCACCCAATGGATTTGTTCTGAGTGGTCTATCATGTAAGGAGATCAGGGATTGCTGACCCTGGAAAATCTGAGAAATATGAAGAAAGCTAGGAGAAGTTTCTTCATAGGAATGAAGCTGAGAAGTTGACTGTCCCTAGTACCTGTAACCACTCTACTGTAAATGTAACACAGGATAATCATGGACAGCTAAAGCAATCTTCCAGCCAGTCCCTGACTGAGCAGGGCCTTAAAAACACCTTTGCTGAACCTCTTACATTGTGGTCCATCTCCAGAGCACTCCTGCACTGCCTCCATGTGCCCATGTCACCAGTTCTTGTACTATTCCATAGTCTCCCTGGACCTCTTTTAAACATTTTTTCTATGATAAGACTAGTTTTAATGGTTGTATTATCATGCAATGAAACACCTCCCTTCACCTCCCTTGCCCTTGCTGGTGTCTGTACTAGTGTTTCCTTTTGCCCTCAGTATGGGCATTTTAACCGATGCCGAACCTGGATGACGGTGGAATTTGCATTCTGCCTACTGAAACTATCTCTGTAATTTCCACTTGCAAATCATAATTCTCACTCTAAATTGTAGTGTGGATCTGCTCTTAAATAGTTGTTACATCTCATCGCAGCAGCACCCAAACTGCTTTTCTGGGTGAAGGGATATTATAACTGCAACAAGCTGTTAGGAGTTAGCTATCACTTTTGAGCAAGTAATAATAGTTTGTAAAATTCCTTTGAGACTCATCTTAATTAAAAAGTACTATAAAAGTATAATATTGTTATCGCCACCTTCCAGTCATCAGCTGAAATTTTTTCCTGTTACCTTTCTTTTCAAATCCCTTGTGTTTGGGAGTGTCCATGTGGCTATGAAAGGTCTGGTCTTCTCAAAAAAAATCCCTCTGGTCCTTCTCTGTATTATTTCACTCACATTCTTGTCATAAGAACATCCTGATATTTAGGAATGAGGAGGAAAACAAGACCTCCCATTGCTCAGGAGATGTGCGTTTTACTTTGCTAACAGTTAATGCCATCTGGATGTAGCTCTGTGGCTCAAGGAAACAACTTGCATTATGGTGTAATTTCTCACATTGGTTACTGCAGTGCAATGGGTATCTGAATCTAAAATCCTTTTATCTCATTGCATTTCCCTGCTGTGCAAAGGTGGTTGCACACCTTTGTGTCTTGACGCAGAGGACATCTCACAGTGCACCTGAGAATAGAAAAAAGTATGCATTCCTCCAAGTCACTGTCTTGAAAATGTGAAAACTCAAGCTCATGTCTTTACTCTCTTGATCAACAGTAGAGCAAATTTTCTCATCTGGGTAGCCATATGGTTCCCTGATGATCCTGTACTGCAAAAGCCTTCCATGTCTGCTCTGAACTCCTGTCAAATATGAGCTTCAGCTCATGACAGCATTGAGTTGACTACTGAAGGCTGTGAGGGTGTATGCATAATATTTAGAGGGCCAGTGCTCTCCTAACTCTCAACAAACAGGAACAATTACAATGACAATATGATGATGCAGCTCTTCTGGCATAGAGATACCTTTGAGTACATTTGCCTTTTTTGTTCCCCCTTTTTTCTGTTTTATAAGGCACTAAAACAACTATCAAATTGTTTTCCTTCTATAAATAGAGTTTTTCTAAATTGGAACAGCTAGAGTCAATGGCTTTCAGATGCAGCTGTGCTTGATTCAGGCTCAAGAGGGTGTTCAGACACTATGGTGACTGGCACCAAGACAAGAGCTCTGATGGGCTGATTTCCTTGGTCTGAGCTGGTTGACAGCTTGTTGCCTGCTCTTCATCATGTGAAGCTGTTTTCTACTCCTTGAATGGAGAATTGAAAATTTTTAAACTTCCACCCCAAGGGCAACTATGATCACGAGAGAAGACCCAGGTTTTCATGTTATATGATGTTCTTGGATAGGCAGCAAAGCAGTGGGAACTACACCTTGTGTTTTAACAGTGGGATACCTTACTATGTTGGTTGCTGTGGGAGTGGATTTATCCATCCCTCATCTCCCCTGCTTCTAACTGTTGGCCTAAATCTAAGTGCTTTTAGGTAATATAACCATTTGCCAAAGGATTCCACGTGAACAGCAGGTTTTCAGAACTTTTCTAACGTGACATAGCTCACTTGTGGAATACAGGTAATTTCTGCCAACTGCGTAGTTCCTAAACAGCTCTAGGGATAAGTGTCCCACAACCAGATTGCCTGTAGTTATAGTTGCGCTGTGACCAACCTGTACACACATGAAACACAGAAAGATCTTGAAATGCGTAAACAAAGGCTTTGTCATGATCTGTTGGGCAGGGACGTGGTGAATATGAACGACCAAGGGAGGAGTTGCCCAGAGTTAACGGCACAAGGCATTGCTAAACAGCCAGGTCTTGGTCTGATCCAGAGACGCGGCACGCACACCAACTGGCATGTTACAGAAGTGCACGGCTGCCTGGCCCTCCATGGGCCCCAGTTCTATGAACTGCCTTGCATGCAATTACCCGGTCTGAGCTTCTCTGGGAAGCCAGTGCAAAACAAAATGCAAATGAATCCCAGTAAAGTTGCTGATCTAAGCCAAGCATGGTTGACTACACCTCCTCCCTCCTCCTTTTGTGTTTTTTATTTTTTCCAAGCATTCCCCAGCTTCATCATAACATGAAAGCTCTCAATTCAGAGCAAATTAATCCACAATCCTGTCTAAACAGAATTCCTGCCGGAGGCATAGTCCTCCTGTTGCAACACTCGTCAAACGTCATTCCATAATTACATGAAAACTGTTATTGCTGCAGAGGCACACCCTGGGATGGGCCCTTCACTGCATACACAGCTGAATTTTGAAACAGGCCTCTTCCCCCTCCAGCTAATGACTCTAATGTGATTAAAAGGAGCACCATGACGGTAGCCTGGTAGGTGGGTGCTTCTGCTGCTGTCTTTGCTGAGGGAGCTGAATCTTTTGACCCAGCCAGGAGCTCTGGGATCTTGCCCAGTGTCAGCACATGATCTCCATTTCAAGCAGTGCCAGGAACCTGTACTTGCCAGCTATTGTTGTTCAGGGCCAAATGCAGCAGTGGAAGCACAGCACCTCTTTGAAGCAGGCCACCCTCAGTCCCAGTTGATGAGACTACCCTTCTTCTCACAGGCTGAGCTTTCACTGCAGAAAGAGCAACTGCAGCTGAAGATCATCGAGGTAGAAGATGAAATGGATAAGTGGCAGAAGGAGAGGGACCGTATCAAGGTGTGTATGGGATATTCTAAGTTCACTTCTCTGTTTCTCCTGTACTTGTCACTTTCTTTTCCACTATCTCACATGCCTCTCTTCCTTTCCTCAATTTCTCTGACATACCCAGCTCTTACTCACTCCATCCCTTACCCAGTCTCTATCTCATCGTTCTCCAAAATGCACTCATGCCAAATCTTGGAAAAAACAACTCCTACTGAAGTCATCTTGCAACAGACCCTGCAGGAGATCAAGAAGAGGCAGCACAGCCTTGTTAGAAAATGATCCAAGGCACCTCCCTGCTTTGTGCCCCTTATGGTTCTTCAATCCCAGTAGCCAGGCTGATTCGGAAACAAAGGTGTGCTGCTTTTTTTCCTGCTAGACCACACACAAAAATAAACTCCAGAAGCGCTCTGGATTGCCCAAACAGAGATAAGCCAACAGGAACAGATGCAGTTACACCAACAAACATCTTATTTATAGCGGAACAGCTTATTTCCATGCTGATATAGAGGTCCTTTATAATTCTTTCACCATGCTAAGGGTTAGAATATAGTAATGGTGGTTTTTTTATTCATTTATACCTTAACTGAACAGAGCAGTGAAAACACTATTTGGAGACACCCCAGAAAATTTGCATAGTATTAATAGGCAAAGCCATTCTTCTCCCTTTTATGTGGTACATGCGCATTGGCTTGCTAGTTCTGCTTTTCATCTGCTTGATTATTATTATTATTACTATTATTATTATTGGCAATCTGACCTAGAAATTTTAACTCTGGATATAGTTACATCCACAGTCCTTTTGAGGAACGTTTCAGAGGGACCTAGAGGTCAGGTCTGTAAAAAGTGTTTCAGCATCTTTCATCCTTTGAAACAGTGGGAACTCGGTCCTCAAATTCTTGAGGAGCCAGAACCATGATTTAGAAGGTTAAACAGTGTTTTTAAATATCACCCAAGAGTGCATTTCGTGAATTGAAATAAAAGATACGCTCTTCTAATCACGAAGTCAACGCGCCCTTTAAATTACATACACACAATTATTGCAAGAGCAAGTATTACTTCTCTTGGCACAACTTTCCTGGTGCTAAGACTTACGTACCTAGAGTCTCCATAGTCACAGTCTAAATGCTGAGAATGCTTGGACGTATCCCCCTCTGTATCCCTCTATTAGCAAATGACCCCCTGAGAAGTTCATTATTTTGTATTTCTCCTGAGTCTTTCCTGCTGCCTCCTCTCTCTGCCCCTTCCCTCTGTAGAACTACACCACCAACGAGAAAGCCACAGTGGACCAGCATTTCAAAGAGCTGATCCGTGACCTGGAGAGGCAGAGGGATGAAGTGAAGGCTGCCTTGGACCAGAGGGAAAAGATTGCATCAGAGAACGTGAAAGAAATTGTGGATGAGCTGGAAGAGAGGGCAAAGCTTCTACGAGAGGACAAGGAGAACAGGGACCAGATCCACCAGATCAGTGACTCCGTGCTCTTCCTGCAGGTAACTGAGATCTCATTTTCTTTTCCTTTTTTTCCCATGAGGACAGGATTTGTCCCAAAGACAAATACAAGGTTGGTGCAAGATGCGTTAATCTTCTCCAGTTCAATCCACATGTATGGCAGGAACCGACCCTGACATTTGAAGCTGTCTCTGCTCTGGTAGGTGAAGAATGAATTTAGGCGTGCGAACGCCTGTATTTTTTCTGGATGGCTACAGCTCACAGGCAGAACATTTGTCTGCCCCCTCCATCTTCACTGTTCTCCTTTGCACTTCAGACTATTTGGAGCCTAACATTAGCCAGTTCCCTAGAATCTAGCCTCTGTCTCTTATGTTCCTCAGTAACCTCTTCTCCCTTCTTTTTGGCAGGAGTTTGGGGCTTTGATGCGGAATTACGTCCCCCCTCCATCTCTCCCAACATACAGTGTGCTGCTTGAAGGGGAGAGCATGAGTCCATCGATGGGACTCCTCAGAGATGACCTTCTAAACGTCTGCATGAGGCATGTGGAGAAGATCTGCAAGGCAGACCTTGGCCGCAACTTCATAGAGAGGAACCACATGGAGAATGGTAGAGTATCTGAGATCTGCCCCTTCCCTCCCTCCCTTGGCAAAGCCTAGCACAGAGTTAGAGGAGATGAAGTGTGATGAGTGCGCTCTCACAGAGGAGAAAGTAAGCAAGGACCTAGGAAAAGTGGGGGAAACATGACCTGCAGCCGGAGTTCATTCTGGAATATCAGAGTTGTGCTGCTGGACCTATATAGGGATGGAACCAGTTGAACTGCCAGGGATTTAAAGTATCTCGTGTGTAGGGGACCCAGGGGTCCAAACTAGCCCTTAGTGCTGTTTTGCATTGTGGCTTCACAGTGTTTAATCAGTTCTACCACCTCCCATGTGGGACTTCCCTTTGGGGTCAAGAACGGTGACCCTTCCCTCCTGCAACAGGCCCACAGGGACACTCTGCCTTGAGCTAGGCTCCAACAAGCCCCTGCAAGTTTAGCACGACAGTTTCTACGTGGAAGACTGCACAGATGCACTAAGGCAACTCAGAGGCTCACTAGCTAAATTGAGAAGGCAGTGGCAGGAATGTGAGTGAATGTAGCCACCCCGGTACAGCAATTTTAAAATCCTGTCATTAGCCTATTTGTACAGCTCGGTTAGCACATGTACTGTGCTGGTATGACATACCATTTTACAACAGCCCGTTTCAGCCACTGCTTGCCTGGCTGGAACATGAAATACCCTGCAAGCACCTGTCACTGAAAATCTAACAACAGATTTTCCAAGTAAAAAGGTCTCCATTTCGGTGTTCAGGTTAAGCTACAACTTGAACTGGCATAACTCTCTCTGATCATACTTCTCTGCACGTTCCACAAGGGAGAGCTTTGTTTCCTGCCTGCCCTGAGCCAGGGTGCTCAAGGGACATGCAGTGCCAAATGGTCCCCACGCTTCAGTGATGTTTAAGGATGGGTGATCTTTCTTAGATGAATAGAGAGATCATGGTCAATACCATAGCATTGCAGGGAATCTTCTACGTTTTAGAACCCACTTGCTTTCTGTGTCTCCCAATTATTTCTGCAGAAAGGACTTGTCTTGCATCAAGCTCACACATAAGATTAGAAGGACGGAGCACTAGAATGGGACTCCACAACCAAGGTTCACTTCCCAGCTCTCCCACAAACAGCCTTTGTAACCTTGGGCAAGTTACTTAACCCTGTGAAATGACCTCTTGCACTAAGAATAATAGGGATCAGAATTAATAGTTATCTCTCCAGGTTGCTATAAGTAATATAATAATTGTAGAACCCTAGAGACTAGAACAATAAAGGTCAAGAAGCTGGAGAGGTAACATGAGGATAAATTGCACCATGCTGTTCAGGAGGATGTGCGACTCGAAAAGATGCAGGAATAATCTCAAGTCCAGTTCATACAACACAAGCAGCTGGGGAACTCTGCTGCAAATCTGCAAGATCACTGTTACTTCATTCACATTCGCAGTACTCCCTAGACATTCCTCCCCTATTAATACACCACCTTATTCCTGGGCAACAGCTATGCAAATCACTTCAACTTCCATCCAGAAAACAGATCCACGTTACAAGATGATATGTTAAAGGAAGAGCAGAAGATACAACCAAAATATCCCCAAAACCAAAATCCCAGACAAAAAGCAGCCTGTTAAAAAGATGCATAGAAGTCAGAACAACCTGGGTTCAGTTATTAGTCAGCACACTAATGTTTTTTCAGAGCCTGGGTTTATGAATCAGCCTGTCTGGCATTCATAATCTAGAGCAATAAGAGTCAAAGTGACATGGGACCAGAGTACATTCAGATCTGTAATGAGCACCACTAGTATTCATCAAGCAACAGCCTGCTCCATTATGGAAAGAAAGAGTAAGTCACTGTCCCCAAGGAGCCTGCACTGCTCAGGGTTTCAATTCATTAATGTTTATCCAGCGCCATCATTCTCCATTAGACATGAATTAGATGGACCAAATACTTCTGGTCCAGAGAACAAACCTTTCAGAAAAGTCAAGAATCACATTCAAAGTGCGCACGATGCATAGCTAGAGCCAGATTTTTAAACTCTTCCTACCCTTAAAGTAGTACCAGAAATTGAACATTACTTGTATTCCAATATTTAACACTGCAACATACCTGGTCAGATTTCCACGTGCTAAGGTTTGCTGAGAAATTTGGCTATAACTTAATACAAGTAGATGACAAGCAGCTCAGATCCAAAAATCAGTTTTGTACATTTTTCTTTCTTCTTCTCTGTTCACCTGGAGATTTGCAGAATTTCCAAACTCTGGATGGCATAATGCCAAAGGAGTCTGGGATGCCTGACTACTCACAGAACTTCTGAAAACTAGATAAGTACCATAAAAGCACTTTGCATTCAAGTTGCCATAACTTAGGAAGTTACCTTCCATCTGCTGAGCTGTTTTTTGCCAATCCTGAAGCAAATACGTTTTACTTGGCCATTTGTACAACCCAACAAGAGTATGCATATGTTCAGTTCTGGTAGCTGTGGATAAAGACTGACTGCTTCTTGATCACTTTTAATTAGGGTCCCCTCCATGTTACTGATGCCAGAAGTCCTCAATGGTACTTGAAATCCATGGGATTCAAGTGCCAAAACATTTCTGAGCAAGACAACAGTTAAATACTGCCAGAAACCTGGGCACTTTCAGAAACTCTACCAGGGATTTAATGGACACAGCTTGTAGTCTGCCTAATGAGAAGAACAGTGGTATCCACTCAGGTGGGAAATGTTATTTAAGGTGAGTCTCAGAAACTTCAGAGCTCTCCATTTTTCAAACCACAGTTACACTTGAAAGAGGACAGCACTCCACATCTAGTGACTGCAAGGAAATAACTCCACAATTACTTAATGGATTTAATTAACTCAGACTCCCCCTGAGTCATTGCAACAAATTCATTTGCAACCAGCTTGATCTTCTAGTGCAAAAAACTTCCCAGGAAGAAATATTCTATTAATGGAATGAAACCTGCTTAATAGCAGACTCCAAAGGGAATCCACTTTCTTTTAGTTGTCATAACAGGTACCTACTTAGTAGTGTAGCAAGGTGGCAAATAATCAGAGAGCATCCAGGGAGTTTAAATAACACAGAAATAAATTGCAGAAATAACATAGAAGTTTGTTCAGTGACTTAAAAATCAAAGAATAGAACTATTTAAACATGGGAAATTTACCTCCTTGCAGAGAACAATAGGTTTATATAACACTTGAGGCTTTAAAAGAAAGTACTTTTATAAGCAACCGTATTGATGGTGCATCACTTCCCGTGGATCAGTGTCAGAAAACCAAAACCAGGCTGCATAATGCCTGGCAAAAGGGTAGGTTTCATCCACTTTGCATGAAGCCTGAACCAAACATCCTTGTCCAAGAGCCCAGGAAGCTAGAGCTGTTTGCCACTCAGGTTTAGCATCTTTCTTTAAAAATTGAAGAAACCAACCCATTGAGCCCTCCCAACACTGACATTCTCTAGCTTTATAATACTTGCAGTTCAAGATCTGCTGGTTGAAATCCAGCACTGTGCACAGGTTAAACACACAAAAGAAGCCAAACTTAAACCACTGCTTTTGAAGTGGGATACATTTTTAGCCACGCAGCAGTATTTTTGTAGGAAAATGCTTCAACCCTCAAGTCTCCCTGTGAACTTTCAGGAGACAGCGTATCTACTGAATGGCCAAATGCTTCACCTGTGCGATGCCTCCAAGGGAGCTTTCTCTTTTATCCCAGGCTGAACCTCTGGGCAGCTACAGAACCCCTTTACCTCCCAGACAAAGAATTCCACAGAGAAATTAAAAAAATAGATGAACTTGTTTTCAAAGAGCAGAACCATCTCTCCTGCAGCACTTGAGGAAGCAGTTCCAATCTGTTATCCCCTTTCCCCTCCTCCCATCCCTCTCAAGGCCACTAAACCACCTCCTCCAGCTCATGCCCTGCTCTGCTTCTACAGGTGACCACCGGTACATGATGAACAACTATGAGTGGAACCAGCCCGACAACTTGAAGAGATTTTCCATGTTCCTGTCTCCCAAAGGTATGGCACCCTAATGGTGGTCAGGCTTCCTCCAAACACAGCATAGGAAAGGAACTTCATTAATGTTTTGTCCCCAGATTTGCTTTCCCTCATATTTCCTGCTGTCCCCTGGACAAGATCCATCCCTCTACATTTGTTTATACTGGGTTTTCTCTCCAGCCTACAGAGTTTTGAGAAGCTTTTGCCTTTTCATCTCAAACAAGGCAGCAAAGGCTCTCAACTCTATGCAGGAGAGCTGGAGCAACTGAACTCTTTCAAGGAGTGTAGTTTGTCAATATAGCAGAGTTTTAACATGTGTTACTAGGTTGAAGTCAGCGTTATTCTCCACCAGAAGCTTATCCCACTGTGCTATCAAGTATCAAAGCTACACTAGGCTTGCTCTGCATTAGGGTTTTCCTTTCACCAGAAAACATACTTTCTCCCTACAAGGAAAGAATAGAAGTAGTGAGGAATGTATCCTAAAAAAAGCAGGAGTCTGGAGTTCCTTTCTGAGCAGTAACACTGACAAGAAGAGCCCTGGTGATTTGCCTATACCCCAACTGTGACATGAACACTACAGGATGAGTCTTTGGAGTGCATGACTATTTTCAACACATTCAGTTGTAAAATGGCAATTGTCTATTTCTAAATTAGTGTCAGGATCTCCAGAGCAAGAAGCAGAGTGGGCTAAAAGCCTAGGCAAGGCAATGCCTGTAGAAACAAAGAAACAGAATGGGTAGCACAAAATAAGTAGACAAGTTTCCTCTGGTCCCTAGAGAGCAAGGCCCTGCCTGGATTTGCCAGGTGTTTACAGCTGTAGTTCTGCAGAGCCAGATGGCAGGCAGAGCGAAGGGATATGCCAGCAATTAGCAGTGGCACTCCCCTGAAGGCGTATTTGAAGGGTGACGTTGCCTGCTCTGTCCTTAGGGTTTCATGGGGACAACCCAGATCCCAACACTGAGCCCTTTGTCTGGATTTCCACTTTGCCCTTCGCTGTTACCAGCCCACGCCTGGCAGCCCTGCCTGGTGCCATGGGGGTGAGGATGCTGTTTGGAGCGGATACCAGGGGCAGAGGCGACGTTCCCATTTCAGTGTCAGCAAGCCTTTAGCAGGACTGTTTCCTGCAGACCCCCCAAGTTAGAGGGTAGCCTCTTCATCAGAGGCTGCAGAGGGGCATTTTGCCAGCAGTGGGTTTGTTTTGCACAGAGCCTGTCTCCAAACACCGCCCAGATGGTTATAGCTGCTGTTCTGCCCCAGCTACTTCAGGGCTGCTGTCAGGGAAATCACAGGTAGGAGGTAGCCAATGATGCAGAGAGACCACAAACTCAGCCCTGCATCCAAAATTGTTTTCAATCTTAAGGGATAGTTGCAAGTTCTAAAATTGCATGGGCTGAACTCATCTCTGCCCAAAATGTGGGGCTTCAGGTTCGGGTGGAAATGGCCCAACATGCGTTTGAAAAGTGTGGCGGGGGTGTGATGGGAGGAACACAGTAGACAATGCCATTCTGCCACGACTGCTCCCATGTGTGTCTGGGACAGGGCTGAAACCTGACGGGGCAAAAGGAAGGAAAAAGCTATTTGCAGCAGTGTGATAGCATGGCATAGCCTGGCTGCTCACTGCTCTGGACTGTAGTGCCTGGACTTCCCTCTGCTCCTCTCTGGAGGATCAGTTGCTGAGACCTGGGAGCAGGGGCTCCCTGGATCCCAGCTGGGATCCAGCATCCCAGCCTCCTGAAGAATGTCCCAAGAGACAGGAGCGATCAACAGGGACTGCTAGACACAGGGCTTATTATTTATTTAGTGCTGTTTATTGAAGCCAGTGGGGACACTTGCTGGATGCAGTCAGCTACAGAGTAGCGTGAGGGTTGTACAGCAGCTTGCAGTTCAGTAGCCCACTGCTTCCTGCAATGGACTTTTGAACACACAAATACTGGGGAAGCATTTGTTCCACCTATGCATCTATGTTTTTCCTGAGAGCACGGACATGTTGCGTTCCAACATGTTGCCTACTCATTCTATATTTTCTACCAACAAAGTTACTTTGTCCAAAAAACCTAAACACGATTGCACGCACAGCCTCTGCTGAAATGGGGACTGAACAGCACTGGATTCTCCTCCAGGGTGAGGGCTCGAGCATGATAGAGAGGAACCAGCTGCTGAAACCATACTGATGGTGACTTTGGGAACAGAATGAATCAGTAGGCAAAACAGAAGACATGACCCACTTAGCTTGCATGCTGGCTAGCAAAGGATTACCCAATGAATAATGCAATATACTCATAATCATTTTGCTCTCTAGAGCTTTCTATGCTCTATGTGTCATGTGGAAGTCCAACACTGCCTCCGATTGCATCTTTTCTAAGGAACTCCATAAAATGTGAGGGGGAAAAAAAAGAGGACCACCCTTTGCATTGCATAATGTGCACAGAATCCTTGAATATCTCATAATAGTTTTGTAACACACCCTTTTTCTCATTAGCTTGGATCACTGCAAGTTCTGCCTGAGGCCACAGTGGCAAGTCTGTTTGCTGCATTGAGAATGCTACCCAAGTAGTTCTCTGTGCTAATTGCAGTGGCTCATACTAAGAAACTGCTTGGATTTGAGCTGAACCTATAGGTTTTTAAGCCCTGCTTAAATTCAAGGAGACTTCCACTGCTCTTGTCACTTAAAGACAGTCTCATGGAGCATCTGCCTGCAGGGATGACTTAATGAGGCAGAGGGGAGACATAAAAGGTTTCAAATGCTGCCTAAAATATAGAGGAACAATCTGTTCAACTGCTCGACGCTCCTTTCTGTCCTCTTCCACTGAGCTTTCTTCTCTTGATGTTGCAAACAGTTTGGCCAAAGCCAGGAGGAGGTTGGAAAGATCATCTTGTGCCTTTGGAAGTCTTTGAATGAAGAGTAGAAGGGACTCAGGCACACACAGAGAGAGAACTGCTTAAATGGAAGCATTGCTTAAATAGAAAAGCAGTCCACAGGATGGCAGCATAACAGCTCAAGTATTCATCCTTTTTTTGCTCTTCTGGAAGTCCCGTGTCTCACAAAAGGGGTACAACAGCGCTAGTCTGCATTACAGCGTGATGTCCTAGAGAAACCCTGGAGCACATGACTGTCACAGTGGCTGAGACAATGTGTGCTTGAGCAAGAAACGTGCCTCTACTTGTGTCTCTTGAGCTCTAAACCAAGCCTCTGCCTGCAGATCTCTTTGCAGAACAGTCACGTTGAGTAGACAAACCCGAGGTGGCAATTTAGTGCAGGTAAAGACAGCTCTGTGGCAGTGAGAGCGCTTTGTTGTCTAAATGAGAAGTCTATTCACCATTCCCTAGAATCCAGAGAAAAAAACGAACAGGCTTTCCTCTACTCTCTGGACTCAGATTTCTGGTTTGGGGCTGCTTCCAAATTGGTGGGGACTGTTTCATAGAGCAATGCCAGGCACAGGCCTTTGAGCCAGCTCATCAGGAGCCGACTGCTGAACTGGATGCTCTTGTTTTACAGCCAGTTTCAACCCACGATCATGGGAATTTTCCTCCTTCCAGGCAACTGAGGAAACACTTGGTACGGGTAATTCCAACTTCAGCTTGAAAGGATCTAACCCCCGTGCCACAGCTTTCTAGCTGGCTAACCAACCTTTTCTGCTTCCCCCTCTCAGCTGTCCTGTCACCTGTCAACCACTGTCTCACAGAACCATCTCTTAGCTGGGTTATTAGCACCGTCTGCAGACACCCAAACCCAGGGTCTCACTGCTGTGGCTGCTATATATAGAGGATGGAAAGGCATGGAAAACATAGGTGCCAGTTTACAAAGATCCTGAGATCCCTAACCAACTGCAATTGACAGGAGTGCCAACATCATCCAAGGCAATCCGTGGAGGTTGTGGCAGAACTGGGTTCCAAATACACTCAGCCAGTCTCAGAAGCACAAGGCTGCTCTTCTCCATCACACATACATCTTTTACTTAGATCGTAAGTTCTCAAAGACAGAGCCTGCTGAATGTTCGCTGTCTGTACAGCATCCAGCACAATGAGTAGCTTTGAGCTAATGCACCAAGGACCAGCAGCAGCAGCGAGTCATGCCTTTTCTTCCCAGATCCCCACCTTCCTTTTTCTTGCCTATATTTTCTTACATTGCTTTGTTCGTGCTCAGAGGGTCCTGCTTTTCCTTTCATTCAGAGGCAGCCTACAAGCATCCATGGCCACTCTACCTGGGCAAGCTCTGGTGACTCACAGCCACA